TTATGCCGCCATTTCAGATTTGAATTTAGGTTGACAGTATATTTGAAGTTGTAAGAATATTTAATTAACTGATATAATGTTGAAATACAAACCTGCTGAATAAAATTAGTTCTGTACCTTTATAATACAGTGACAAACACTAAATATGCAGGTGGTAATGAGAAAGCCACATGATGAATCAAAGCTCATCACAAGTAACTTTTCTACATGCTGAGGTAAATACTAATATAAAGGTATACACATAGTGCCATGCACACAAATACAAAAAGCCATCATTGTATATCATCCTAATTCAGGGAACGTTTTTCTTTTTTCACTGTAAATTAAAAGCTTTCCAAAAACTGTAAATGTAACAGTATTTCACTGTGAAGTCACATATACATAACTGTATATTGTAGGGAACTCACCATTAACCATTGATAATTTTATCCATATTTTGCCATTAAAATTAAGATTTTAAAAGCAGTTTAAATTTTTTTTTATAGACTATCATCTAGTTAGAAAATTAGTTTCACTCACGTGTTCCTCTCTGTTGTTTATGATGATCAGATCTGCTCGTCTGTCCGTACAGTATCTTCTGCTCTCAGTCCAGTTTCTTCTTCACAGAAGAAATGTAGTAAAAGTGGGATCGAGAGTAAATCCATCCATCTGTTAACACAACCAGTTCAACTATTAGCACTTTATTCCCATCACACTGATCTACACAGGGCCGTCCTTAGGGGGCTGCAACTGGTGCAGTCGCACTTGGCCCCGCAGCGAACAGATTAGAAGTTACAGATCAGCATTAGATGTTCAGTGCCACTTTCTCTGTGATATGATAATGAGAGTGAGAATTATTTACTAGATAATAATCAATTCAGTTCAGTGATTTCTCACCCAGGGGTGCAGCCGTCAATCCATTTCCATCTGCCCTCCACTTCTCTGTCAGTCAGACCAATCCAGACAAAAGAAAATAAATAATTACATAAATCTAAAAAAAAAAAGTAAATAAATAAATAATTACATTTACATCGCAAATGCTCATAACAATAACAAAACAGAGTATCAAAGTACATAAGAATTTCAATCAAAAAATAAATAAATAAACAAAAAAATTCCAGTAAATACAAACAAAACAAGATGCACAAGAGTGTAAATCCAATACAAATTCAATATCATAACATTCATAAAAAACAACCCAAATCAAAATGAGTTTAACCATCCAATTACCTTGTGTTTATATAGGAATCGAGAGGATACTTTTACCTAGAAGAGAAGGGGACTTGGATCAAATTTTACTTAAACGGGAGGCATTCTGGATATATAAATGGAAAACTTTGGTCCCACATGGTTTAAATGTAGATTTTGATTCGTGTTTTCACCATTGTTTTTTATGATTGTTATAATATTGAATTTGGATTGGATTTACACTCTTGTGTATTTTGTTTCGTTTGTATTTACAGGATTTTTTTTTAACTCTTATGTACTTTTATACTCTGTTTTTGTTAGTTATGAGCATTTGTGATGTAAATGTAATTATTTTATTGAATTATTTATGTATGTATATTTTTTATTTATTTATTTATTGAGATTTATGTAAGAATTTACATTTTGTCTACTAATTAATTATTGGCTGGTGACCCATATGTCTTCACCTGTGCATGATTAATATCCCTATTTATATTGTTCTCCACTTGGTAAGAAAGGCTTGTTTTGCTGAAACGTTGTTAACTAATAAAAGATGCTTAAATGAGTGCGCATTTATATTTGTTCTTTATTGTCTTTGTATAACTAACATATTAGTTGAGAATTATTTGCATTTGTACTCTGCTTTTTGCATGTTCTGAGATAAAGAATGATGACACTGCAAATTCCACCAAATGTGTAAAATTACTGACTGAAAAAGAAGTCAGCTGTTTATTAAAATGCAGGTTACTCAGGAACTCTCTAATTGCTTTGTTAGCATTAGAAAAGTTTGTGAACAAAGAAAGACCATACCATTCTTACATTGCTTCTGGGTCCTCATGCATGCAGTGATGAAGTCTGTCTTTTTGTATGGTCCAGGAAATGAAAATTGCGTACAGTATTAATAGTTTAAAAGTTCAGAGTAGTCATGCTAACACCAATCTGCCTACAGTCTACTGAGCCCATCGTATATATAATATCCTCTCATAGCCCAGCCCTATTTACAACTGATCATTCTAATTTATATTATTTTCTAATTTATTACAGATTTTTTATTCATTACAAATAATATCATCTTTAACCCTTAAATGCATGAATGTTTGAATTACATATTCGGGTCTTTAGCGACCCGGACCTATATATCCAGCATGGATGGATCTGTAACTGCAGCAATAGCAAAAGATTATCTTTATATGTTAAGAACAATTACAGAAGAATAAAATAAAGCATATTTCGTTACCTTTTGAAACTTTAAAAGGGTTCAATTTGAACAGATTGTTTTACCATCGCTGTCATCGTCAGAGCGCACTTCCACAGTACTTTTAGCATCTGCCTCATATTCACGATCTCAACCATATTCTCAAAACTATCTTTTTCAATTACTTCATATTCAATATTTTGATCACAGGCAGCTTATTCACCACATCCAGCATCAAATGACAGTGATATTTATATTTCATTGCATATAGTAATTGCTCTGCAGTAAAGCCATTCAAACCACTTACATTTTTGCTGATGATATTCGTTTGTTTTATGCCTGCGATAATTATGAGTGAAACATCACGTCATCATTGTGTATCAAACAGTGCCACCTTGAGGAAAAAATATATTATGCACATATTGAGTCATCAGATATGTAAATATAGTTGCAAATACTTACACATTTACATACCTCGGGTCTCTAGAGACCCTATACACTTTTTACAAAAAATTAATCAGAAAACTGGCATTCTTTTATATTTTACCATTTTTGTTGTTGTTATATTGTTTATAATTAATAGATTGAGGAATACTAAGAAAGTTGATGTCTAACTTAAAAAAAATGAAGGAGGCAGAGGGTAGAGAATGATGTCCTGGGTCGCTAAAGACCCGAGGTATGCATTTAAGGGTTAAAATGTGAAAATGTTGACTCAAAAAAAGTTTCAAAATGTGATTATCTTGTGAGCTTCAGTGAAGTTAACCAGGAAACAAAGTTGTGTTGCTTACTGAGATATGAGTCTTCATCTCATTTGAGTGTAAATGATTTGTTACACATTTCAAAACTACTTTTTTTCAGTATATTTGAAAGAGTGCACATTTAAGAAAAACGTTTTGCATGCTTCGCTAAAAAGGCTTTATAAAACAGGGAAACTATTAAAGGGTTAGTTCACCCAAAAATGATAATTAGCTTGTGTTTTACTCACCCTCGAAGCATCCTAGGTGTATATGACTTTCTTCTTTCAGACGAATCCAGTCGGAGTTATATTAAAAATTGTCCTGGCTATTTCAAGCTCTATCATTGCAGTCTGCGGGTGTTGCAGTTGAACATACCACAAGTCGTCAAATAAAGTGTGCGCATTCATAATAAAACGTGCCGCAGAGGGCTCCAGGGGATGAATAAAGGCCCCCTGTAACCATAATGTAATCCATGTGTTTTTTAAAGAAAAATATCCATATTTCAAACGTAATAAACACTTTTCTCTCACTTCCGCTGGCTGTCATACATGGAAGCCGTTCCGGCAGATGACGCAGCACGTATGCGCAGCGCGCGCACCTCTGAGGTATGCTAGTCTCGTGAGTTTGTTTATAGGAGCAAAGGAAGCAACGTTTCCTTACTTTAGCAAAGAAAAACCAGTCTCCTCTTGGTTTATATCGAAATCCTCCGACATTTTTCTTTGCAAATCCTCGGTTTGTACTTCTAATTCGTGACCGGCGTTTTGTTTTGTTCTCTCTCCGCATTCGTCACTAATCACGGTGCGCAAACGTGCTGCATCTTCCGCCGGAACTGCTTCAGTGTATGACAGTCAACGGAAGTGAGACAAAAGTGTTTATTACATTTGAAATATGGATATTTTTCTTACAAAAACACATGGATTCGCTACAGGGGGCCTTTATTCACCCCCCGGAGCCGTCTGCGGCACGTTTTATTATGAATGCACGCGCTTTATTTGACGACTTGTGGACTGTTCAACTGCAACACCCGCTGACTGCAATGATAGAGCTTGGAATAGCCAGGACAATTTTTTATATAACTCCGACTGGATTCATCTGAAAGAAAAAAGTCATATACACCTAGGATGCTTCGAGGGTGAGTAAAACACAGTCTAATTTTCATTTTTGGGTGAACTAACCCTTTAAGTGGTTTCTGTTACTATCTGTCACTATCACAAAATATTTAAACTGGTATCAGGTGATGTACTTGGAACATTCCCCACATTTTGACTGTGTCCTCAAACAAAGTAAACACATTTTCTGCACTGGTAGATTTTCACCTCCACTTGATCTTTATGTTTAGCTCCTGTGTCTCAGCAATAGTTTATCACAGGTAATATAAATACTCTCAGATATATAATCAAATATGGTAAAAATATTTTGTTCTGTTTGGTTCTGTTCAGGTTGATTTCACTGCTTTGAGTTCTTGTACCTTTGAGGCTCAGCTACAGTGGTCAATATTTTACTATTGACTTCATTTTTGATTGTTAATAGTTAAAGTTAAGATGTAATAAAAACAAACACACACACACACACCTAGTCAGTCCCTATTCTGATCTTATTACAGAGTTGGAGTCTAGGAAACTGAATTTTATATTTACTTGCTTTTAAACGCACTGTGTTTCTCATGACACAGCACCATTGTTTATGTATATCAAATAATATTACACATATTTATCAAACTTTGTGTTATTACAAAAGACAAAAGACAAAGAATACTGGCAGCAGTTGCTTCATTCTAAGTGTGTATTTGATTTTGTCCTGCTCACTCCCAAGCACTTTCACTTCACTTTGGTGTTGTAAATTATTCTACTCTGTATGCAAAAAAAAAAGGATAATCAGCCCATCCTGGTGAATAAGTTAGAGCACAGTTCTCTCTTCTTCCTCCATTGGGCTCTCGAGGATCCCAGAAACTGAAAATACAGATCAGCATTATATGTTCAGAGCTGTTTTCTGTGTGATATGATACTGACTGTGAGAATCATTTATTAGATAATAATCAGTTCAGTTCAGTGATTTCTCACCTAGAGGTCATGTTGGTGCCATCAACCCATTTCCATCTGCCCTCCATATCACTGTCAGTCAGACCAATCCAGACATTAGCATTAGCAGATATTTTCTTCACAAAATCCTGAGAAAATGAATCAATAACTCATTTTTATGTTAACGTAATGTTTTTTTTCCTATCGACTATAGTTACAAAATTAGTTTCACTCACCTGTTCCTCTCTGTTGTTTATGATGATCAGATCTGCTCCTCTCTCTGTACAGTATCTTCTGCTCTCAGCCCAGCTCTTCCTCTCAGAGGAAATGAAGTAAAGACTAGATTGATAGTTAATCCATCCATCTGTAAACACAACCAGTTCAACTATTAGCACTTTTTTCCCATCACACTGATCTCCCAATAAGTGGTTGTTTTAGTTTTAATATAGTTCATAATTACCCTTTTCATTAATACTTTTCAACAGTTCATTTTTCTCCTGAGGTGGGCGGTCTATTTGTTTAATCAGGTCACAGTTACTTGATAATAATCCATCTCTCTCTTTTGTCAGCTGCGTGTTCTTGTATACTAGCTGGTCTCTCGCCTCTGTGAGGTTGGTGATCGTAGTTAGTAGCTGGTCTGTCTTTTCTGTGAGTTCTGTATTCCTGGTTAGTAACTGGTCTCTCTCTTCTGTGAGGTTGGTGATCTTCGTAAGTAGCTCTTTTCTCTCTTCTGTGTAGTTCGTGTTCTTTGTATGAATCTGGACGCACAGCACTATGACTGCAGTCAGCAGAAGAACACACAGCAGCACCAAACACACTGCAGCTGCTCTGGAGCTTCTGATCTTCACACAATCACTTCCTGAAGATAAATGTTTCTTAAACACTCATATAACTCAAATGTGTGTGTTATGTGTGTGACAAATATGTGTTGTTATAATGAAATGAGCTTCGGTACCTGTGTGTTGAGGTGTTTGGTGTCTCCTGGTGTTCTCTTTTGCTGTCCTGACATCATGAATGTTTACAGGAATTGCATTAGCATAGAGGTTCATCTTCAAGATGTATTCAGTCTGATGGTGGTAAATGTGAGGTTATTAGACAGTGTTGCTTCAAGTGGGCTGCACTGCTCTGAACTTTTGCTTTGAGCCTTTACTTTTATAAGGCACCTCTGTGGTTATGAACACGTGGTATCCTAGTAAGATGCTTTTTTGTAAGCTTTTTCTCTTGTACTAATTTACTGCAGTTCATAATGACATACACTGTAGTTACTCTTCATATAACTGTGCTTCTTCACTACAGTTACAATCTTTGTATAAAAAACAGATTGGTTGAGAACTAGTTGCTTTTGGTAGCATGAATAAGCACTTCTCAGATGCTGATGCTGCAAATGTCACCAATGCCACAAGTCACACTGTAACACACTGTTACACCTATCAGAAGAACACCGTGCTTCTCCAATAAACAACTATATACATTAAGTGACTTCTCATTTTTATTTATTTATTTATTATTATTTTTAATTACAAAATATATTATCAGCTGAATAAGAGGAAATGTTGGATCGGAAAAAAGAAGATTTCCTGCCCTGGGTTGATACAGTGAGCACTTACATGTCAGATATTTCCTACAAACTACTTGATTTAAAATACTGATATTAGTTTTCATCTTCTGTGAGTGTAACATATTTTCAAAGTACTCTTCATTTCTTTAGGGGTAAAACATTTGTATGTGGATGAAATTACAAATAATGTGCCTTTAAGGAAAGCTTTTGACATGCTGAACGAAAAACACTTTAGAAGTTAAACTAATAAGTGGTTTCTCTTACTAAGAGAGATTTCTTCACATGAGCATATTGGCATGATCATGTCACAAGGCCCTTAACACTAATGTGATTAAAATGTGTTAGTAGCTGTTATAATAAAATCAGTACATGTGTGTTGGGCTGCTTGGTGTTTGAGTCTCTTCCTGACATCATGACTGTTTATAGGATCGGCATTAGCATAGATCTTCATCTCTTTGTCATCTTCTCTTGAGCTTCATCTTTTTTTTTCTCCTCCACCCTGGGTTGATAAAATGAGTATTTACACGTCAGTCAGACCTTTTGTGACCTTTAAGCTATTAAGCTACTGATGTCTGGAGTCGTCATCTCATAAGAGATCACATCATCTCAATGTTTTTCTATTTGCATTTCTATTTACATTTATGCATTTGGTATACACTTTAATCCAAAGCGACCTACACTGCATTCAATACAGATAGATAGATAGATAGATAGATAGATAGATAGATAGATAGATAGAAAGTACATTATTTGGTAAAATTTGTTCTACTAAGGGAAGTGTTCTGGTTTTGAGCTTTTGCAGCTGTGGTCAGGAACATGTGATATCCTGTGCCGACATAAAAAAAATCTTGAGCTCAAACTTCATTTTTACCCCTATTATGAAGTTACTGTACTCTGCCTTTGCATTATCTGCAAAAAAGTTAGATTTTTGCCAAAGATAGATAGATAGATAGATAGATAGATAGATAGATAGATAGATAGATAGATAGATAGATAGATAGATAGATAGATAGATAGAAAGTACATTATTTGGTAAAATTTGTTCTACTAAGGGAAGTGTTCTGGTTTTGAGCTTTTGCAGCTGTGGTCAGGAACATGTGATATCCTGTGCCGACATAAAAAAAATCTTGAGCTCAAACTTCATTTTTACCCCTATTATGAAGTTACTGTACTCTGCCTTTGCATTATCTGCAAAAAAGTTAGATTTTTGCCAAAGCAAAAGGCAGTAACTTCCACATTATAAATATTTGGTTGCTGATCACCATTTACAAAATCATTATAGTAACACCTGTATAAAATCTAGTGTACTATCTTATAGGCTATAACATATAGTAATGTGACTGTATTAATAGTTTTTCTGACTGTAACAACCATACAAAAAGTTAAACATGTGAGTGGATACCATTTTGAATTTATTTGCAATGTTCACTAGCGTAAAAGAATGCAAGACATAATTGGTTTTACATCGAATTTAATGAAAATAGCCTAACCTAAAAAAGGACTTGTGGGTTAATGTGAATGCCAGCAAGTAGGAATAATGCTGAGAAGGCTTGTGGATTAAACATCTCCGATGACATTCATTGCCATGGATTTTATTGAGTTACAAGAAAAGGTAGGATATGGATTTAATTGCGAACTGTTACTGATTTTATGTGTGATACATGCTATACTGTCACTGCATTCGAGTCCACACTCGTGCAACTAGAAGTGGGCAGCCTCAGACTGACAGGCTGGCACAGAGTGAATAATCTGCATTATAAAAAGAAAAAGAAAAAAAAAACACTTTAAAGATTATTTACGATTACTTATTGTTGTACACAAGATACACTGTAATTTAAATGTGACAGACTTTAATGGACAGTAAAACAAAGGCAGAATACCGTATAACTCCAGACCGGCACAGTAACTTCATGCTGACGCCTGTATAAACAAAGGCAGAGCACTGTAACTCAATTTGAGCGTTCCAAAACAACGTCAAAGAGCGGTAACTGGTGTTATACGGTGTATACGGTGTATATCTGTATATTTAGCTTACAAAAAATAAAAACAAGTAAAATTTTTGTTTCCTATTAGTGATCACATTACAGATTTAACTTTAGGATGTTTTTCTCTCACATATCCATTTAAAATATTCTTCACATGAATAGTCACGCCACCCTGATGAAGAAGTCACAACACAGTTCTTCTTCACTGTCTCCATTTGGCTCGCCAGGCTTCCAGAAGCTGAAACTACAGATCAGCATTAGATGTTCAGTGCTGCTTTCTGTGTGATATGATACAGATTTTGAGAATCTTTTTATTACATAATAGTCAGTTCAGTCAGGACCACTTTTGTCAACGAATATGTATTACAATAAAGCATACAGTTAATGTTGGTGGAATGGTTCTGTTCTGGGCGAACTCCACACGCCCGTCCATGCAGCCATGCCTAGGCATAGCGGGGAGAGCAGCAAATCAACCCCCCCTGGGGTAACAGAATAGATCCAGTAATCATGCATCCATGAAACAATTCACAATTTAACATGAGTTGTAGTAAACATCCAGATACATAGAGGATGATTGCCATGTACTCAAACACCTCACATATCAGATTTAAATAAATAAATCCCGGCTAGGAGGAGTTGGGGATGCAGGAGGGAGTTAGAAGTGGTGTGCAGCCAAGCAATAGAAGAGGGGCTGAATGAATAGGATTTAAATAGACCGCTGTAATAGGTGTCGAATCTGGATTGGTACACGTCAGGAACAGCTGATCGTCAGCTAATGCAAGCTTGACTGACGTGGTCTGCCTGAACTAACGTGATGCTTCAGTGATTTCTCACCCAGAGGTCAGTGTGCTGCCATCAACCCATTTCCATCTGCCCTCCACATCACTGCCAGTCAGACCAATCCAGAATTCACCATAATTTTCAAAAAACTCCTAATTAAAGAATATAAGTGAAATAAGGTTTTAATATGTTAACTAAGATATTTTGAATCAATGTTTTACTCACTTTTTGTTCTTTGCTGTTTATAATCATCAAATCTGCTCTTCTCTTCGAACAGTCTTGTTTGCTGTCATTCCAGCTCTTCTTCGTAGAGGAAATGTAGTATAAACCGGATTGATAGCACATCCATCCATCTGGCAACACAACCAGTTTAGTTACAAGCTCTTTGTTCTCGTCCACACTGAACTGAAGCTTACCAATAACAGCTTGTATGCACAACACACATGTTGCATCTTTTTAATATTGAATATTTGTGTAGCTTTAGTGTAGTTCAAGATTACCCATTTTTTTAAGTAGTTTTTTCTCCTCAGTCATTTCGTTATTGGCATTCACTAATATATCCTTCATATTTAAACGGTCTTGGATCTCGGCAATTAGCTCATTTCTTGTTTTATTTAAGATTACCTCACTGTGTTCATACTGGTAAGTCTTAGTTCTGTGTTCTATGAGCAGCAAAATAATCGCCTCCAGCAGAAGAACACACTGCAGCACCAAATACACCATAGTTTTTTTGTGTCTTTTGGTCCTCACAGAATCACTTCCTGAAAATGACGGATATGAAGATAACTGTTTCTTAATTAATCACATGACTAAAATGTGTTTGTTAGTTATTGTTATAATGAAATGAGTCTTAGTATCTGTGCTGTTCTTCTTGCACATTTTCAGTCTTTCAGAGTAAAATCGTTAAAGTTGCTGGTGTGTGGACTGCACCGCTGTGTACTAATACTTTGAGATGCTGAATGTTAACTACACCACTGTGACCGCACTGAGCACTCATTTCCTGTTTGTTTAAATTATACATATCTCCAAGCACACACACCAGCAGTTTTTTTGTAGACTGCTAGAAAAACTATGTCGTTTACACTTTAATTGTATTTACATTTTCTGATTGAAATGCATTATTTAGTGATAGTTCACCCAAAAATGAAAATTCTGTCATTAATTACTCACCCTCATGTCGTTCAAAACCCATAAGACCTTCGTTCATCTTCAGAACACAAATTAACACAAATAAAATTTTATGAAGCTACGAGTATACTTTTTGTATGCAAAGAAAACTAAAATAATGACTTTTTTCAACAATTTCTTCTCTTCCATGTGGTGCTGCTGACGCAGGAGCTGGTGTTCATGGCATAGAACGCCCATCTCTCAAAAAATTTCAAGTCATCCTTTCTTTCGAAATCTTCAGATATGTTTACGAAGACTGTTTTATTCTGCTTGTAAACAAGGTGCAGCGCATCGGGGTTCTATGTCAGAACGCCGGCTCCTGGGTCAGCTCTCGGATTTCATCAAATATATCTTAATTTTTGTTCCAAACATGAACAAAGGTCTTACGGGTTTGGAACGACATGAGGGTGACTAATTAATGACAGAATTTCCCTTTTGGGTGAACCAACACTTTAAATGTAAATTGTTAAAGGGGTCATATGATGCGATTAAAATTTCTCCTTTCTCTTTGGAGTGTTACAAGCTCTTGGTGCATAAAGAAGATCTGTAAAGTTGCAAAGACTAAAGTCTCAAATCCAAAGACATATTATTTATAAAATTTAAGAGTCAGCCACGCCTACCTAAAATGGCTCGTTCTAACACGCCCCCACATATCTACGTCACTATGTGGGAAGATTTGCATAACGCCGCCCAAAGGTTCACGCAAAGAAAGAAGGTGTAACTTTTATTCTCGCTGTAGTGTTGTTGTTGCCGCTGCCATGCCGTGAAGGCACTGTGTGTTTCGTTGTGAAAGCGAAACTACTTTGTTTGGCCTTCCAAAAGAGGACGATATCTGCTCCGTCATGCCTAGAGCTGATCCGTGCTGGTTGCTGAGGAAATACAACAACTTTGCGCTGTGGATCACCGGATCGGCTTTCACCGTGGACGAAGCGGAGTCCAGCCCGGGGTCGTCACATGTGGTTGCCGCAAGCC